CACCAAAATCTTTTTAAGAAAAACCAAACTAACAGAGATCATATAAAAGAAAGAATAGAAAAGAAAAAAGATCCAGGGGATATAGACTATGCAAAAGTCTAAAACCCTATAAAAGAAGAAAGAAGAAGAAGAAGAAATTTTGAGTTTAGTGAACTTAAGAATAATTGATGGACGCTAAACTCAGTCCAGATCCAGCAGATCAGCCTGGTACTCTGAATGATATGAATTACGACTCACAGTCAAGCAGAAGACCAAGAGAAAATAGTGATAGCGGTCTTGTCCGGGAAAGGGAAACCTGCAGGCCAAACCAGAAGCCTGACGTCAATGGAAGACTCGACAGGCAAGCCAATCCTGATGCAGTACGTATTAATCAGCTGTTGATTACAGGATGTCAGATTTCTACAACTTCATAAAATTGCCTGAATCATAGATGAAGGAGAATTTGGAATTGTATGTATGTAAATTGATTATATTTGTTTTTACCTCGTTTTGATATGCACAGTGAATTTACACATATATATGCCCATGCTTGGGGACACACACAACACACACACACACACACACACACAACACACACACCAACACACACACACCACACACACACACACACACACACACACACACACACACACACACACACACCAACCTCACAAGAGAAACTTTGTTTTTCAGACCTCACCCAACTCCTCTCCTAAACATGATCGAAGGGAACACTCCGCTCCCTCATCAACTCTCCAATCCCTCTGTTCCTATTCCCACTATATATAAAGTATTTCCCAATATCCTTCCTCCTCCTCAAGTTCCCCCCAACCCCCCTTCCTCCCACACTCTCCCAACACACACCATCCTCTTCTCCATCTACATCATTCCCTCTTTGTTGCCTGTTATCATTACTGCTCCCACCTGGATGCTCACATGAATCCCTTCTATCACAACAGTCCCCTTCTCACCTCTTGTCATTCTTCCTGATACTTCACCACCTTCCCCAATTGCTCAGTATTATTCCCCGGATTCTTCTCCTCCTACTTCTCCAACCATGTCATAGAGTTAATTATCTTACAATGAAATTATATGGTGCATTAAAGGAAATAAATAATTGTAATACAAACTTCTCTCTTTTATTAACAGGAGCAGAATACTCACTAGCTAAGAAGTACTACATACTAAGAAATATGAAGATCTTCTTACAAAGTTCAAAACTAGTATGTTACAATAAAATACAGGGATTATAGACTTCAAAAATCTAAAGCCCTATAAAAGCAGATGTCTTTTTCCAGAAAATCGGCAGCAAATGAAAATCTTTCCTGTTGCAGTACCTGAGGACTGCAAACCATTATAAAGTAAACAGTTCACATGAACTCTTGCTTAATAAGTGAAGTTAAACCTTTATGAACTCAGGTCTTGAACTAGATTCAGGTGATATGCTTGTCCAGGCAATGTTATGAATTATGAACACCAGAAACACATCAGATGTAGAGATAGCAATAGCGAAGATTACCCATACTACAAACAAGCAGGAAATGAAGAAACTGGGAGACAGCCCATGGAACCCCAAATCTTCATATCTGAAATAAGGTACTTTGCATGAGAATGTAGTGCTTATATATTTATGAGTCACATACTTCAAACTTCAATAAACAACAATGATTAACTGAAGAACTAATTAAATCAATCTATCAGAAATACGAAATAAAGAAAAATTCCTGAGTGTCTATAGCTTTGAAAGGTTATAAGGTATACAATCACTGATTTAAAAAACATAGAACCTTTGAATTAATAAATAAAAAAATACAGTATTGTCCTGTCATCAGACTCTTGATTTTGATATAGTATTACATAGAATCACAAAATAAGAATATAATATAGATAGGGAGATCTTGATCCATCATCATTTTTCATCTACTAACGTACACTTTAAATCTCTCAAAAAAACATTTCCTAAAAAAGGCTGAAAAGGAACACATCAGTCAATATCTCACAAACAATGGAAGAAACAACCTTAGATGCTATCCTATGATACTGCATGACTTCATAAAACACATTTTATTCCAGTAACATTTTTACCCTTTTTCTCTACAATACTTAATTATTTTGCTTTATCTTTGGTATCTGGAACATTTATTTCATCTAAACCATTAAGTATTAACCATGTCATAGAGTTAACTATATAATTGAATTATTTGATGCATTAAAGGAAATAAATAATTGTAATACAAACTTCTCTCTTTTATTAACAGGAGCAGAATACTCACTAGCTAAGAAGTACAACATACTAAGAAATATGAAGATCTTACAAAGTTCAAAACTAGTAGGTTACAATAAAATCTCCAACAAAAAAGAAGACCCAAGAATTATAGATCCAGGGATTATAGACTTCAAAAATCTAAAGCCCTATAAAAGCAGATGTCTTTTTCCAGAAAATCGGCAGCAAATGAAAATCTTTCCTGTTGCAGTACCTGAGGACTGCAAACCATTATAAAGTAAACAGTTCACATGAACTCTTGCTTAATAAGTGAAGTTCAAACTTTATAAACTCAGGTCTTGAACTAGATTCAGGTGATATGCCTGGTCCAGGCAATGTAATGAATTATGAACACCAGAAACACTTCAGACGTAGAGATAGCAATAGCGAAGATTACCCATACTACAAACAAACATAGAGACAGCAACAGAGAAGATTACCCATACTACAAACAAGCAGGAAATGAAGAAACTGGCAGACAGCCTGTGGAACCCCAAATCTTCACATCTGAAATAAGGTACTTTG